TGAACGTATCAAGGCACTGAGGGTTCAATTTTTAAATTTCTGTGAAATTCTTTTGGTAGGCAGTCCAACATGAGAACTGGGCATCTTCTGATGGTGCATGAGTGTGTTTGCAGTCCAGAAATTGAAAAGTATTGTATGAAATTTCCATGAAGAAACTCTCTTCTTTCTTCTGTATCCAGTAACTAATCTTTACATTTTAATGCCCTACGATATCTTTTTACTGCTTTCACTGCTCTCTACTTAGTAACAGAGTTAAGGTGTGTGCGATATCACAAGATCTGTTTACATGTAGAATCTTTAGCCTTTACAGTGTGACTAACTTCTCTAAATCCATTTATGTAGTTTAACAGGTTTTTAAACCATTTCTTTTCACTGAAAATATTTCAGAGATGACAAGCATCACTGCACAGCTCTGGGGATATGATTGGGTTTCCAATCTCTATGACCCTGCATGATCTGGATTGTCCATCATAAAAATAATGCAAATTTTATTTGTTTGCTTGGGTTTTTAATAGTTAATGGTTTAAAAAGTATTAGTTGAAAAGACAGGAATATGTTTTTCATTAACAGTACCTGGCTCCAAGTGTAGCTTCTCCATTTTCTGTTTGGGAAAGTAAACACAGAAAGAGGATTTTATAAATGTATTTTGTAACACAGAATAATAGTAACCCCCCCACCCAAGCCCAACATTGAAAACTATACAAGTTCACCAACCACATTTAGCACTATTTTCACCATCCACTGGAATGGAGTATTTGATAGAGGTAATTTTTCTGCCACATTAAAGCCAACTCAAAATAGCAGGCACTACTGTGTTCTTTATCTAACTTGGAATTTTACAATAAAGTATACAGTAAAGTATCTTGGTGTACCACATCAACTGCAGAGTGAAAAAACACACCCAACTACTACTGGATATAATCAGCAGGATAAAGAAGAAACCAGCAGTACAAGATCATTTTGATTTGCCACAAATGTGGAGGAAGTATTGATAGCCGACTGAAAAACAGGGAAAAAACCAGAGTGTTCTCATTTGACAGACTGTGTGCTGAGCAAGATCACTGTTATCTTGGATTCCATTACAATGGTATATTACGGCCATTCTCTTTTCCGTAGTATGAGCAGAGTGAACAGTGATAATAACAATCTGAAGTACAGCTATATTTTCATTTTACCTTCATTTCAATTAAATCAGAAGAAGAGGCATCTAAATTGTTTTCAATTTCATCATAATCTTCCTAAAAGAGTGAAAAAATAGTTAGAGTAAAAAAGGAATTCTAGCATTTCTTACAAAAAGTAACGTTAGCTTACGAAGAAAGATCACTGTATTCAATTTCCCCTGGCAATAATGAGAGAAGTATTTTCCAGTATTTGACAGATCTCCATTGCTACTTCAGATTGTGACCCAAGAATGAGAAGCAGCAGGTAAATATTCTTGATGATTAAATCCCTTTCTCCGGTTACCTTTCATTTTGATTTCAACATAACACTGTCTATTTCAAAGTTACTCTTATTTAGAGAGGAAATTTATGCCACATTTCTGTGGTTATTGTACATAACATGTTTTTCCATTTTTCTACTTTTTTACTGGTTTTAGTTTCTAACTGAAAAGAAAACGAAGTCAGAAATTAAGCTGACTTAGGTTTCTAGTTTTCTGAAAACAAAACACATCCCTTGAATCTTCCTTCCCTAAGAGCTGCTGGTAACACTCAACCAAAGCTCAGCAGGTACCCGATTCACAACAGCTCTAATTTACAGAACACCAGAAAGTTGCCTTCAAGGATAACTGGATGTTCTTGTTATGACTCTGTTTACAGAAGGTAAATGCTAAAGGGTTGAGACTGACATCATTGGCCTAAAATAAAAAATACATAAGAAGGCAAGGAGGGATAACACATTCTGTTTGGAGAGTGAACAGCCTAAAATAAATTAAAAAACCCAAGGATCCAAGGAAGTACATCTGGGGAGTGAATGTAACGTACAGATCACCCTGTTCATTCAGTAGCACAGGACTGTGCTGTCTGTAAAAGACATCACAAGTTGCTCTAAAAACTAAGTCCAAAGCTTGGCAATGTCAGAACAGGGCAATACAGAATACATAAATATTTTCTTGTTTCATTAATCTCTCTAAGAAAACTGTACAACTTAAATTCTTTACACCAGAGCACCATTTCTGCAGAAAGTATTTCCAAATTACCTGCAAGTTGAAAACTGATTTCTCTTTCTCCATATATATCAAATCTAGATGGCTGCATACATGCATAGATACACTTAAGCACACATGAATGGGAAGAGGGAAAAGCGAAACTAATACATTACTTTCAATTCCAGGCTTCTTTCACAGCAAGCAAAGATATTACTGCAAGGTAAAGAAGGCTGTGACCTGTCTACCACGAACATGTCAAGCATCTGATAGGTCCAAGAACACTGACCACTTGAAAAGCAGGACATGAAAGCTGTTCATGTAAAACAGAATCTTTACCACACTCATGTCCTATATTCTTTTACACTCAAGTAGCTTGTTCACATGCTCATATACTTATTAAATACCTTCTAAAAATTTACAAAGACCTCTAATCACTTACCTCATTTTCTGTTAGCTGATCTGGAAGTTCTTTCATTTCTGCTTCGACATTGTCTTTATTATCAGACAGAGAATCAAGAATATTATCAGGACTATAGTCTTCTCCACAGTCTACAGCGCTGCCATTATCTATTTCAGCTTCATCTAACACACTAATATCCATCATGTCAATATCTTGCAAGGTATCCAGACTTGCTTCGATATCTTCCTACAGAAAGAAAAAGGACAGATGTGTATTTATTGTGGGTTAAATGATGCATATTCTTAGTAACAGCAATCATGATTTCACTTACCTGCCCATCTCTAGAGTTTTCTTCTAGTCCATTGTCTTCAACACCTTCTTCTTCTGGTTTTCTTCCTAAAAATATTATCATTGAAGTGAGATCTCGCACTACAACTTCATAAAATGTGTACTCTTTACTGAATTATCTATTCAACACTGAGTTTGCTTCAAAAAATCATCATTAAGGCCCTGATCCAGAAGTCCAGGTCTGCCTGGATATAACGGAGAATGACCTGTCCCTCGATAAAAGCGAACAGCACGAGCATGAACTAGAAGTAGCACAGCTACGTTTTCCAACGGCTCACACCATCTCAAAGCCCCCAACACTTCAATATCTAAAAAGACACCACAGTTTAGGATGGTATTCTATTTAAAAGAAACACTATCGTTGTTACAAAAAAACCCCCAGCACATTTAAACTATTCAATAATTAAACTGATTTAGAACTAGTAAGTCTTCACTTCTAAGAACTTGTACACATAGATCAAGTCATGACATCTGTCACCAGCAAACTTATATTGCTATTCAAAACCAACTGCTCTTTCTGTTTTGTTACCCCTTTATCTTAAAGCAAACAGCTTAAAGGCAAGTTTCAGGAAGTATCTGAACTGAAACTCAGAACTGGCTATAAACAATTCAAATAAACCAGACACAACACAGCCTATAGAATATTTAATGTTTTTGAGGCAAAACATACTTCAGTCACTAATGAGCTATTTCAGAACAGTTTATTTTCAAAGCAACAGTTATAAAATGAAATATGATACTAACAAAAGTTGTACACATTCGTTATTTGTGCAACAATGGTTCTAATTATTTCTACTGTAATTTCTTGCATCTAAAAATGTATCCCAATGAGGATGGAGGTTCAAGGGCTTCTATGAAAAAAACGGAAATGTCTACAGTTACGGCAAGGAAATCAGTACCTGAGGAGTTGTGGAAACACCTTAATATACATTGGCAGAGATGTCCACAGGAGTTTACACTGTAGCTGCTTGCTCTGTACCTGACAATTCTGCACTAATGGTCACAAGAACATACACACCTGAAACATATGGTCTCACCTACATGTTTCAAGACTTGCTAGCAGAAGTATGGTTAGGTGTCAAACTGTCATACTGTTATTGCTCACTGATGCAACAGAGTTTTACCCTTTTCCATAAAGGAAAAAGTATCTTTTTTAAAAAATAAGACTAATGAAACAGAAGAAATTAACATCATATGTTAAGATCTAGCTACACGGAAACAAAATAATTGTATTTGTCCAGACTCCATACCTTTGCTAGTTCTTTTTGGCGTTCTTTTGTTGGTCAGTTCTGAGGCCATGGGAATTTCCTCAGGATCTCCTCCTTCATCCTCAATGGCCTATTGGAGACAGCAGCACAACATCTATTGTTTGTTGGTGTGCATTTGTACTGGTTTTGGATGGGACAGAGTTACATTTCTTCATAGTTCCTAATATGAAGCTATGTTTTGATTTGTGCTGAGAACAGCGTTGATAACACAGAGATGTTTAAGTTATTGCTGAGCAGCACTTACACAGCATCAAAGCCTCTTCTGCTTCTCACACTGCCCCACCAGCAAGCAGGCTAGGAGTGTACAACAGGCTGGGAGGGGACACAGGCAGGATGGCTGACCCCAGTGGACCAAAGGGGTATTTCATACCATATGATGCCATACTCAGCACCAAAACTGGCGGGGGTGGAAGTTGGTGGGGCTGCTATTACTAGGAGACTGGCTTAGCATTGGTCATTTGATGGTGAGTAATTGTTTTCTTTTAAATCACTTGCTTTTCTTGGGTGGTTTTTTCTTCTCATATTCCTACTATCTGTTGGGGGCTTTTTTTGCCCTTCCATTTAAAAAAATTATTAAAATGTCTTTATCTCCACCCACGATGTAAAAAATGTCTCACCCTAGTTCAGGTCACACCGCTAGGCAACTGTATCAGCCATCAGAAACACTGAATAGTAAGGTGGTATAACACAACCCCACAGCCAAAACAAGCTACAATTGAGGAACAAAGTTCATCTCATCTCTAAACAAGGCTCGCTGCTCAGCAGAGAAGTGCTTTATCTGCATAAAATTGAGAGTGGCCACTACAAGCACTCAGTACAGTACTTTTTCACCAACGTGCAGGCCTATCAGAACTCATAAAAAGGTCAGGACCGACTGTGTTCTGGCCTCACGGAGGCCTGAGCAAACTCTAGAGAGGTGGGAGACTTCACTCAGGTGAAGTGTGAAAAGAGGAAGCAAGGCAAGAGATATAGAAGAGGAGAAGAAAACGTGTATAGGTAGGGGGAATGGGGGTGGAAATCGGGGACGGACACGCGTACGTCAGGGACAGAGAACGAGAGAATAACGGGGGCCAACGCAGAGCGAAATCCGAGTCGCACTCCAAAGAACAGCTGAAGTGGGGGCGGCGCGCCGGTTCTCTGCTG